CGATGGCGCGGAGTTTTGACGGGTATTTTGCCCTGCCTCTAACCAGCTGCCTTGGAGCACCTTTACTCAAGGTCGTGGCGCTGGTCACGACAGTCCCCATGGGAACTATCGTAACCACTTTCTTCCATAAATATTACACTAAGCCACCGTTTCTCCACACCTTTGCCTTCCATTACCCATTATATAATAGTTACCATCTCCCGACTTGTCTAATTGGTCGAATAAGGGGGGGGGGATCGAATGAGCGAATGATGCAGTGATGGGAACAATGTCTTCAGCGCTGACAAGGGAAAGGATACCAGGTCGAAGTGGCCATTTGTAACGAGACATACACCACTAGATGTGTTTTTGGACGCTGATCTCGAATCTGCTCTCCAAATCTGCGGAACGATTCTCTGAACGTAGTTATGAAGCGAGATAGTGCAGCGGCCCGGCCGACGGGAAAGAGGTCGTGGGATCGACTTCTTGGCGAGTTCTGACATTTGCTTTCCCTGAGAACATTAGAGAAACCCTCATTTATGCCGTCATCAGCACTCGCCTATATTACAAGTGTGAGGAGCTAGCGAGGAGCTTCGATCAGTGTGCGCGCCATTTGCAAATGACCGCCCCTGGTACCCGTAGCGCACGCGTCAGGCAATTTCGTGCCAAACAGAGGTGATATTCGTGTTCAGCGCGTTAAACTACCCCTTTGACAACTTTTGATCCAAATCTAAAATTTTGACCCAAAGTCGAAAAGTGTGGGCAGTCATATCTATACCTTAACCCATTGTCAGTTGGTCATGAGATGGAATTAAACTTTCAGTTATACAGTCGATATCTCGAAGTCTGATTGGGCGTGTCACCGGAAATGACGTGGCAGCCACCGCACTTGATAGATGTTGTGTGGATAAAATACTCCGCCAGATATCAGCAAAGCGTGTTGGAAGCAGCTTATCCGCGCAACTTCTATCAAGTGCGGTGGCTGCCACGTCATTTCCGGTGACACGCCCAATCAGACTTCGAGATATCGACTGTACTTGTGAACCGCAACATTTATGTCTGTCTCACTTCTTTGCGCTATATGAAGAATTGGATGGATTTTTTTCAAGTACACATCCGCTGCTGTCTATGGTAGGACAGCTGTAGGGTTACTGGGTAGGGGTAAAAGTAACGACTGATTGTCGTAGAATTTTTCGAAAATGGTTCAGAATGTTAGTTTTCTAGCAGTAAGCCTTCAGGGATAGTCGGATCCGCTGAGCAAGCATAGTACCTCTTCATCATCTGATGAATAACCTTCCGTAACGAAGAAACACCCCGATGCTTGTAAAATAACTGTTCACAAACATTATGACAAAAATAGTTGATGCTTGAAAGAACTGCTCTGTACACGTGACAGCGTTGTACACAGTGCAAATTTCAACACTGAATAGGTTCTTTGTACTGAAAGAAAGCGTAGTTACAAAGTGCAAAACTTGGAGCTCACCAAAACCCGACTTGCGGCCCCGCCAAAGTAGTTAGCAACACCTTTAGGCCAAGCCGCTGATGGCACGCTAGGTCTGCCGATCTCTTTTAAGTGGGCATTCATTTGACAACCTTTGTAACTCTGTTCAGAGAATCGTTCCGCAAATTTGGAGGACGGATTTGAGATCAGCGTCCGAAAACACGTATGTGAGTATAGGTTTCATTACAAATGGCCACTTCGACTTGGTACCCTTCCCCTGTAAGATGTGGCGCGCTCCATAACGTTGCGCATTTTTGCGTAGCATTCCTTTAACTGTCTGACGTACTGGCCTCTCGCGTCAGCCTAATGATCTCCAAGGTGCACTCTGGCTTGATAGGCAAGGGACGCGGAGGCAGCTTGACAATTGTCCCAACAACTCCTTGCCATGCGACGCGTCAGCGCAGCGAACTCTTTTCGGCGGCTTTTTCGAAATGCTTGAGGTTTGCGCAGCTTCGGTTTTCGAAATGTTAGTCTCCTTGCCATCGCCCGCATCCGTCGTCACCTGCGCTGCACGGCAGTTTTTGCATAGTTTATGTTGTTCCACTGGTGGGACCTCTTATTCTTGTGTTTGTTCGCTTTCTATTAGGTTGTCTCATAAATAGTGTCGCTTTTTTTCAACCAAAAATTTTCATCTAAATCCCATGCTTTTACATCGTGTCATATACCATTCGAAAGAGAATTGTCTGCTCTACAAGATGCTATGTTCTCTTCCACCTCTGTTCCAGGGTTTTCAAATTTTAGGCCTGCGAAATGGGAGGTCCAGCCGACAAAAATTGACCAAACCGACAACTAGCTCTAACTTTATTTTCCCTGGGAGAAATCAATCAATGATGTACCCTCTACTTACTCATGACCTCTTCTGAACATTCCACCCTTAGGTTGCCGAAAAAGCTTTGCCGTGTTTCTTTTCGAATTGGCCGACCGATAAGCCATGGCAATTTTCAAATTGAAATTCTTCCTCTGAAACGCTATTGTTTTATATCAACTGGTGTTATCTTTTGTGAGCACTTCTTCTGCTCTATTCGCTCATTTGTTTTGTTTTATGTTTGTTGGGAATTAGTTCGAATTTTAGGTGTTTAGGATAAGGTGCTTTATCCACGAAAGTGACCGCATTTCTTTGAAAAAAATTATCCCTGAGAAGATGAGAAAATCAACCAGGCGTACATTCCTAACTTAGTCATGACTTGTTCTTAAATTCTACTAGTTTTTCAATGTCTCGGCTAAAAAAATTTCGACCTAGATCTCAGGTAATGGTGCTCGACCGTCGAGTTCTGGTTGAAAAACCAGGTCTGGAAATGGAATGACGCGACTTGTTGGGAAACCTAATAGTGTAATGTTTAGAAGAGGTCATGCATAAGTAGAGGGTACATCATTGATTGATTTCTCCCAAGGGAAGATAAAGTTAGAGCTAGTTGTCGGTTTGGTCAATTTTTGTCGGCTGGACCTCCCATTTCGCAGGCCTAAAATTTGAAAACCTGGAACATAGATGGAAGAGAACACGCATCTTGTAGAGCAGACAATTCTCTTTCGAATGGTATATGACTCGATGTAAAAGCATGGGGATTTAGATGAAAATTTTTTGGTTGATTACTGGGATTTGTGGCTCACATGACATGCTGTATTGGGATTTTTCTTGCAGAACGCTTTTTCTTTTTCGGTCCTCTTTCTTCCGCTTTAGTAGATGTTTTCGATTAATTTCAAGAGCACGGTGTCAAAGTACCGGAAAGCAGATTTGCTTACAGTCTTTACCAATGTTGTTTCTATTCGACTTGTTTATGCCGTTATTTCTTTTTCACACTCTTTCATTTTGCATTGAAGCAGACCTTGTTGATTCATTTTCTTTTGACGCAAGACTCCGAAAAATAACTTTGTTGCTTGTGGGGATGATGGCTCATTTCCTCTTACATGACGAAACGATTCCAGCACCTTATCTGATATTAGGTAATGCAATCGATCTATGTATTATTTGTGTGGCAAACTCGCCCGCTTTGGTGCATGCTTCGCCCACCAATAGCACTTGACTTTTATCTCTTCGCCAACCGCCATGGCTGATGTCAGAGTCCGCGATCATTTGCGCGATTTGCGCGATTTTCGAACCTGCGATGGATCACAGGAGTTGGAAGTGCCCGATGAATACTAGGTGTTGCTTATTCCTCGACATCCCGAAAATCGCGAAAATCGCGAAGAGCGGATCGCGGACTCTTACACCAGCCTATCGGTTCTAACTTAGTTGGAGGGGTCCACGCGGCAGCGCGACGCTCTGTTTGTCTGCAACTCTAAGGACTTGTCACAGGGGCCGTTATTATTTCGCCGCGCCGCGGCACTTTCGAAGCACAGTAGCTCCATAGACTAACATAAGCCTTGGGGAGGAATGCGGACAAAGCGCCGCGCCGCCACTTGTTCCCCCAAATAAGTTAGCGTCACTTCGTCTAGTTTTAACGTCTCTGGGACTTCTTGAAACCGAGTTATGAAGTTTTGTGGGCAGACTCGCTCAGCTGTATACTCCGCCCCCGGGTTCCGGTGACTCTCTAGGAACCGAGTTATAGCCTGGTTGCAAACTCCGCCCACTTTCGGTGTAACGCTACGCCCAGCTTGACATTTGAGACCTCCTCTAACCTCTATCCACTTTTTTCAAGACTCTAAATCATCTCGGAGCCGAATTATAAGGTCTTGTAGGAAATGTCGTCTACCCAAGGGTACACTCCGCGGGCGTAAGCGAGCCTCTGTTTCTCCATTTACGCTAGGAATACCTTAGACATTGCTTCCTACAACAATTCATTTCTGCTCTGTAGGCTTTCTCCAACCGAGTTATGAAATTTTTCATAAAGCACTGCTTTTTTAGAGAACGCCCCGCCCACCGGGGGTGGGTCTCCCCATTCGATCTGGCTTATTGATGCACACCTTTAGGCAATTTTTCCCGGTCCCTTTACTATAATGGAATCAATTTGTATTCATTCATGGCTTTCATTTCGATGCACGCCACGCCCACTGTGGGCGGGGCTCCGCTTAGCTGATGTGTGTTTTGTACTTCGTGAGACCTTGCCCACCCATCCCACACTTGACCCGGTCCCTCCAGGCGGATCCCCAGGAAGTAGGGAATTTCGTGACAGACAGACGGCATGACATTATATTCAGTAGTATCGGAACGACAATTCGCTATTGTTTTTCAATTACAGATGAAGGACGCTGCTCAGCTCTCAGATGCCGAACTTGCAAGTGAGCTCCGCAAGTACAATGTTGATGTCGGTCCAGTTACCGGCACAACACGTTCACTTTACGAAAAGAAGCTCACTAAACTGTGGAAGCAAGGTCCTAGTGCCACCAACTCTTCTCCGCAAAAGCCCATCGTAAGTCTAGTTATTGACGTCTTTTTTGGAAGCTAGTTACTTAAGGTACAGGTCAGGGTATAGGTATTCCATATACAATATCTCATTTAGGTAACAACGCCTACAAAACGCGTATCGTCGTCTTCAAAATCCCCTTCTAGGACAACATCGACAACAAGAAGTACTACACAAAGTGCTCGCCGAAAGGCCGCAACGTCCGAAAGCGAAGGTATTCTTTCGTTCTGCAATATGATTCTGTTTACGTCATTTTGTTTCAAAGAGCTTGTGACCTCGCATCGGAAATATCGTGAAAAGCAAAGCTTGTCGTAGAGCTAAGAGATTTTAAATAATGTGTTGTATCGCTCTAAGCGGCAATCTGAAAAATTCCCGGCCAACTGTTGCATAGTACTCAAAAACAGTATTGTTCCGTGACAGTGTTGAGCTGGTCTGGTTACTGACCATGTTTGAAATCGAACAGGTTTTTTTTTCTGAAATTGCTGCGAAGTTTTCAGTTCACATAATGTCTAGCGTGACCAGTTCTTTCCAGTGCACCTAAATTACGCGAATAATATTTTGATTAATACTTTCGTGTTTGTTTTCTAGAGAATGCATGTTTTTGAAGGTTCTCTAACGAGGTACAGGAAACGTATGTGACAAGGTGATCGGGGACAAAAGCCACTCATTGCCAACTTGGGATTTGCTAGTTCTGTGAAATCTTTCTAGAAAATTGTTTGGAACTACTTCTAAATATGCATGTGTGGCTTTCAGCTAAGAAACATTGCCCTTTAACAAATACCATCATTTCATTGCTCTTAAGCAGTGCTTTACTTACAGATGGTTCAGACGAGGAGCCTGTTGTTACTACATTCTATGGAAAGCCTGTTACTTCCACTCCAGAGAAGCCCACTCAGGTCGTCTCACCTGCACCTTCAAGTCCACAAAAGTCGATGCCGAAGTTCAATGACAGGTAGGAGCTTCTTTGCCGTTCTTGACTTTGCTCGCTCACTGCGATTCTACCAATATGTTTGTCATAATTACAATTCTGGACCCCTTGCATTCTATAAGAAGGCTCTTATTCAGGCATAATTATACATCTTCGTCTCAAATTGTTCCTGGATTGTATCGTACTGATCGACCGGGTGCAACTCCTCCAAGGAAAGCTGCTATTCCCAAGTAGGAATTTTTGATCCGGTTTTCATAATTGATCGATGTGTAGTGCGAACAAATATTGTTGTAATCCACTGCTAAGTATGGGGCTACATCAGCTCCCAAAATTTTTTGTCATGGCAAACTACTGTCTTTGCATTCAATGATTAATTCAGGACCCCTCCACGCCCTTCGACGCGCGTAACAACCACAGCATCTTATACCTTGTCAGGAGACTCTTCTGAGCGCAGTGGGCTTTTTGACAGAAGCAGCAGAAGCGTTTATGGAACAACAACTCCCATTGGTACGTGAGTGGCACCTTTCAAATTATAGTTCATAATGATTGGACGCTCTTGATTTTCATTTCATTTTCTTTCGATGGGCGCTCAGGTCAAGGAAATGAACTAAAAAATCATGAGTTCCCAATGCATCGATAGAGATCGGCGTATTTCTTGTGAGTGGCTTAGTTTTAAGGATCGAGTGGTACTGTATGATCTCGGTCCAGGACCACAGGTGATGATGATGACGGACGCGGATTTACGATGGCCAAGAGTCTAGCCGTATTGTTTACACAACCAATGTGAGCGGGCCTGAAAAGCGCTCCCCATTACGCAAGGCTTGGGACGGCCTTCTTGGATATGATGTGAGTGGTTTTTCCGGTTCTAGAATCATTATTTCAATGAGTTCGTTTCAGTTCAAAGCTGGAAAAGTCCCAGGATCAAATTATGAACTTCGTCATGGTTCCACAAAAACTCGCGTTGATCGAGACCCAAAAACTGGAAGAATCAGAGTACAGCAGCAGAACATTGGAAGGTGAGTTTCCAATATAACATTTATATAGTCTTCGCAGTGTTATATTATGGAGGCATAGTAATTCCCACAATCGTGGTTCCGTAAAGTAGCCTGCTAGAATCGATCGTCGTTTGTATTATAGTTCCGGCCCCGGACCATGGTGAACAACGGTTTATGATTTTTCGATAGTGGTCGTTATGTATGCGCCCTGAGGGATCGTAGAAGGGAAGCAGTGGGGATATGTTGATAAGTGGAAAACTGAAATAGCGGCATAAATCTCATCACTCGTCGCGTGCCAGTATGGTCCAGTGGATCCTCCTTGCTCGAGGGACACGAGCCTTCATTCCTTTCGTTCAGAGCTTTCGTGAAGAAGTCTGACCATCGGGCCGGCGGTCGTCCAGGTGTTCGTTTGACGTCCCGAGGGATCCAGTCGGTAACCGCTCTGGTCCAACGGTCATCGCAAAATCGCATGACGTGTCCGGCCCACCTTATCTTCGATTCCTTGGCGAAAACGGCAGCGTCCCTGATCTTCGATCGTTGGCGTAGTTCGGCACTCCGGATTCCCCTCTGCACTTGCGTGTATAGGGTTACTCCTAGCATCGTCCTCTCGACAGCGCGTTGGATAACGCTGACCGCATGCTCGTCCTGCCTGCGTGGAGTCCAAGCCTTGAGGCTGCGTGGAGTCCAAGCCTTGAGGCGTACGTTAAGGTCGGAGGGACTGCAATACTGAAAAAGTCTACCTACTCCCTCGATGTTCCTAAATGCTCTTCATGCCGCTCTCTTCTTCTTGCTCAATTCTGGAGCCAGGTCGTTCATCATGTTGATTTACACGACCTAGGATACACGTAGCTGGAGCATTCGGTGATGTTCGTTCCGTTGAGCGTGAATGGGGCATCAGGAACCAATCCGTTTCTCATAAACATCGTCTTCGTTAGGTTCAGCTGCAGACCAACCTTACCACAGGCGCAGTCGAAATCAGCCAGCATTCGCTCCGCTTGCTCGATGTTCGGCGTTATAAGAACGATGTCGTCAGCAAAACCGAAGGTGGTGCAATTTCCATTCGGTCTTCACTCTGTTCACTACACGTCATGCGTCAACTGGAATGCTACCATTCCGAATGACGCATTAAGTTCTGGAGAGCGGCGCTGAACAGTGAGACGGTGTCGTTTTGTCTGACCCCTCTCATCACGTCGATATTCATTTTTTAGTAAAATAGTTAAGTTCTAGTCGTGATGTTGCAGTGAAGCTCTTAAAGTATCCTGATTTACTGACGATGAGTTGGAACGCCATAGTTGCCCAAGGCTCCACAGAGTCGAAGGCCTACTTCAAGTTAATGAGAAATCGAGACAAACTCTCATGAAACTTCAATGAGTCTCGTAACCATGTGGATGTGGTTAATCATGCTTCATCCGTTCCAAACCCTGCCTGCTCGCCTTGCTTTCTGTCATCCAGTGTTCTGTCTGTCCTATCAGGACTAAAGTGAAAAGTT